ATGTTGCCATTTAACAGCAATGATGATAAGACACACTTTCGGTCAATTGGAGGTAGAAAATTTCTTATGGGGATCTTAAGCATTTAATATATTCCATGTAATTAGCAATGGTTTTGGCTTTCCAATGAAGTGTATATACGTTAAATAAGTTGATTAAACCCGGTACTAAAATCGTTTGAAAATAATAGAAATCCGGATCTTTCTCTCGCAAATAAAAAAGCGTAAGAAGTTCTATTTATGGTAAATATGTTAGACGAATCCGAAAGGACGAATCATATCCGCGAAAATTTTGGAGAATATTTGTAGGCAAAATATCTCGTCTTGTTGTATTTATTTTACACTCGAGGACTCGAGATTTGACTATAGAAATATTCGATTCGAGTTTCATATTGTGTCACAGTGTTGTAGAACATAGTCATTGTAGGATTTGTCCTATCGCTTTTTTTTTTAAATTGGAGCTCAAAGTCCCAAGGGATTCCATAGTGCACCCATCTAAATTTCTGTACAAGATGGCATTTATTATGAAATGTGTCCACTGTCACTGTCATCGGATATTCTGTATTTCTTTTTGAACATTGTGGATATGAGTCACAATCAAAAGTATCCAATTGTTTTTTTTTTTCATTATAATGACGTGCATGATAATTAATGAAGAAAATTATATTCTTTTTTATATGTGAACATGAATATCCTATAATAATTTAATGAAATAAAATAGCCAATAGTTATATAAATTCAATATAAAACCAGTGAGCGGAGCATTACAGTCGGACGGGGCCGACCATACGATACCCTACACAACTTCCACGGATCTCTAACTTTCTGCGGATGTTTATACTGAGCCTGGGCAATAGTTCGCGATATTTGCACCCTATTCCCCGATTAGAGGTCAACAGCACCTCTTCCTATACAGACATATATTACTAATATTCAGTACAGCCCCTCTAATTACTTGTCCAGATTCCCTTCACCGTGGGCTGTGTTGTGATGGCTCGAAAAACACACAAAAAATAACTTTTCGGTTCGCTTCATCCCAAAATTATTATCTAATCATCACCGAAAATTAAAGGCGTTGTCTTTGACCATACCTGAACCCACCGATCAGCGCTATATTTTCGCCTTCCAGTGTGGAAATTGGTTATTAAATAATATCTCAGTACCTAAGCACCTGTAAATATTTAAGGATAACTCCCACGTCCGAGTACATACGACAATATAATTGGTTTCAATTTAAAGGCCAATCACTCCTCTTAGATATACTAACAACTTTTCGGGTCTATGTCCTTCAGGAGTAAATTAATACGCTATAGAATACAATTTTTGTAATTTGTCACACAAAAGTCAGGGTCCATTTGGCCCGCTAAATATTGACCGATCTTCATCAAAACAGGCATGCTTATTCTTTGGCTTATTCTTTGGTAAATTTTGGCGATGTTTGGACCATAATTGCGGCGTCTGGAGCGACCAGACAAAAATAAAGTTTTTGGTCCTTTTCATCCCCTAAATATTCAGCGATCTTTTCAAAAAACAATAGCGGTCTTCATTGGCAGGAACCCATCCTACATGCAAAATTTCGTGAAGATTGGTCCATAACTGTGGCCTGTGATTTTTTTAGATTTTTTTTTTTTTTTTTTTGATATGTTTCGTCAATAATCAGGTCCTGAAATATAAAATCCAAAGAATATATATCTAAAAGCTGCATATTAAATAAATAAGCTCTAAAACATTTTGTTGCCACAAAGTGTTAAACAAAAGCAATTGCAACCTCACAGTGAAAATTATCCACCGGTATTATTTACAATTTAATGGTTAAAAGTCAATCTTCTCATGGAATATCATGTTAAATGTTGCATCACAAATTTTTTACACTTTGCGCGTGATTTTTCTTATTTGGATAGCTATCGTGAGAATTTGAGACCTGGGTCTCCACACAATGAGAAAATTAGTTATTCACCATACTGAACTAGGAAAATCTCAACGGAAAATAGCGGATATACACAATATTACTCGATGTGTTGCCCAAACAATTGTATTGAAGCGCAATACAATTTCGTTCAGGGACACGAAAAATAGGATTTTCAATTTAGGAAATCTGTTATTTTTGCTAATGAAAGCAAATTTAACATTTTGGGTCAGATGGACCATATCAGATATGGCGCAGGGCGAATAATGCCCTGGACCCTTAGTAAACAATTCCGACCGTAAAGCACGGAGGTGACTCTGTAATGGTATGAACGTTGCCGGAGTAGGAAATATCGTTTTTATGGAAGCAATAATGGATAAGATTCAAACGTTCTAAAGACATTTTTAATTTTAAACGACAATTTGATTTGAAATTTAGTGCTGAAAATTGGGATTGGGAACAACATTTCAATTTTATCAAGATAAGGACCCCGAACACAAGTCCCAGATCATTATTTTTTTATATTAAATTCACATAAGTATTGTTTATTTTATTGCATTAATTTTAAGTTAAAATGTTCATGTTCACATATAAAAAAGAATAACATTTAATTCATTGATTAGCATGCACTTATGGCATTTTTATTATAAATAAAACCAAGTGGATACTTTTGCCTGCAACTCCGTATATTCTGAAAGTACTCCCCTAGGGTTTTCATTTAAACTGGGCATACATACAGCAAATATCTTAGTTTTTTTCACAAGATCTCGGTAATTTCAAATTGACCAACTTTCACCAGGGACTCTCAGAGATCGGGTATGCAGAAATTATTTTTGAACTTTATTCTGGAAGTAATCCCTAAGGGCTTTCATTAGAACTGGGCCTTTATATTGCATCCATTATAGTTTTTTAAATATTATTTTAATATGGACTTATTTTTGTTGAGATTTTTTAATCAACAAAAATAATATGTCAAACCACATATACATGGCAACTCTATCATACCCAAACTCTGTTGATGTTTACAGAATTCTACCAACAACACGAGACAACAAATATTTTATTGACAGTGATAACAACACACCGGTTACATCAAGTTTATAGAAGAAAAGAGATTGTTCACCAACAATCGAGGAGAATCAGTGCTGCCAGTTAAATTTCATGAAAAATCGTCAATTTTTCAGAAAAAAATCGGCATAATCGGCATTTGTATTTTTAAAAATCGGCAAAAAATCGGAAGCATATAATTTATAAGTAAATTCATATTTTTTTGGTTTATAACAAATCAATATTGTTTATTACATTAAAAAAAAGATAACAAATTCAATTCTGTATAAAAAATAACATAAAAGATTCATTTTTCTACAAAAAATGTAGATTTTTCTAAAATATAGTAATTATTATGTACACTAGTGAGATCTTTTAGATCATAAAAGTAACTTACAAACTAGTACATATTTTTATTACACAATTTTAGTAATTCATTATCAATTTTGACATTAAAACAATTTGAATTATTTAGTTTGAGGTAATATTTAGAATAAAGAATCCCTTCCAATGAATCATTCTCAAGTGAGCTTCTAATTTTAGTTTAGTTAAGGTTTACCTGACTAAAAATTCGTTCCACATTTGCTGTGGAGTGTGGAAGAACCATAATTCTTTGACAAATTTAGACAAAACTGGAAAAGCTAAATTGGAGTCCCCACGTTTAATTTCAGAATTTTTTTTCCAAAAACTTTTTAAATTATATTCTGCATTTTCAAAAATTTCTTCAAAATTTAGAAAGTTTAACTCGCTAAACTCGGAGTCTAAAAATTTGCCTTATTCGATGTAAAATGTAAACTAGTCAGAGTACAATGCTGACAAAAAATGCAGATATCTAAGCAATTGAAAACGGCTGCGGCGAGTCGCCGATAGTTATAATGATTTAAAGCTGCCAATTTTATATGTTTTTTATGGTAACGCCGTATTAAATTAAAAAGTTAGACAATTTGAGTCGATTGTTGAAATATCGGCAATTCTGAAGCAAAAATCGGAAAATCGGCATTTTCTATTTTTAGAGTGAAAAATCGTCAAAATGCCGATAAATCGGCAAATATGGCAGCCCTGAGGAGAATATTCAAAGAGAGAGAGAGAGATAAATTCACCTCATGTCATAACTGCAAAACGGCACGTATACCGTAAAAGTACTACCCCACTACTGTTAGCATTAATGCTGTTAACAGGCAGCAGTGGGTGAAGTGGCAGCGAGTGTGAGTGAGAGCGAGAGAGATAAATGAATGACACACAAGGGGAGACCACTGTTATCAAGCAGCGCCACGGTAAATGCATGCCAATAACAAAACAACACAGGCACAACATTTGTTGCTGTTAACAGCACATGTAGAATGTGATTATGTCTCTCTCTCACTCTCTCCCACCGAGAGGGAGAACGTCAAATCATCAAACCGGCTTTAATAAATAAACCCCATTTACCACACATATTCGGTATTTATCTTGTGCATCTCTTACAGTGTGGAACTAAAATTTCAAAGAAGCGGAAAGACTGAAAACATATTTTTGCCGTAAATACAAAAGGAAAAAAATCAAAATAATAACAAACAAAAAGAAAAATATAATAGCGAAGAATGTTGAATTGAAATTATACACCGCTACAAAAATTGTGCTAACGGATTTGTTGAATTGTAACAAAAAAAGAAAAAAAAAAACATAACAGAAAAAAAATATTTTTTTTTGTGTGTGCAATTGAATTAAAGCCGAAATCAAAAAGAAAATAAACACAGTGCATTTATTTAAAAAAAGCAAATAAAATAAAACGTTTTTTACACGCAAAAAGTGAATTGTGTTACAATTGCCAAAAAATAAAGTGAATCTGAAAACAAACAAAAATAAACTAGAGAAAGTTCCCAAAAATAATTAAAAAATAAAAAATAATATTGCATAACAATAATAAAAAAGGACTCAAAGAAATTTATAAATAATTATATTTCATAAAGAAAAGTATTTTTCTGCAAAGAAAAAAAATTTGAGCCGCTATACACTTGGCCAGGAAATAAAAAAAAACACATTTTATTTAAAATTTCCTCAAAATTCCAACAACAATCACGGCGCCCACAATGACAGCCACAACTCCTGCGAAAATAAATCGTTCCAATAGTTTTGTCAGTTCCCTCAAATGGTGGCCATTGCAGAGCAACAGCCACCAGCAGACAACAAATAATGGCAACAATGATGGAGGAGGTGGCGGCGGCGGTGGACTGGCTGGTTTCCGGGGCTTCATACCATTCAATAAGACACACACCCAAACGACTTTTGGCAGTTCGGTGGCTGTGCAAAAGTTGCGTGAATCCAAATGGTTTGCACGTGAGGAGCAGCGCATTTTTTGTGCCGTCGTTGAGTGCGGCTTCATTGTGGAGTTACGCAGCAGTGCTGCGGTGGCACGCAAATTAGCACAACAACAACAAAGGCGTCAACGTTTATTAAGTTTAAGCCAGAAAAGGTCCAGCTCTCCTACTACAAACACCACCACCATAATTTCTAATGGCAAATCTTGTGGTGGCATTGAAGATTTAAGCGGCAAATGCAACAATGTTGCACAGACAAACACAATAACAACAACAAATAATCAAAATACCCAAGACAGAATCTTGACAACAACAAGTGTTTCGTCATCGGATTACAGCAGTGATTGTGGCATTGCCGATGTAGACGATGAGTATTTCGATGAAGATGATTTGGAATTGCAGGATGAAAATGATACACCGATACCCACATGGTTCGGTATTGTTTTGTGCAAAACTACAAAAGGTAAGTTGTGGAGAAGGTTGTTTGGGTTGGGTGGGTGTTTCATTAAAGGCAATGAAATGTGTTTTGCAAAGAAATGTAAAAGTGTAGGAAAGGTTTTTTTTTCTTTCTGAAGGTTCTGAAGAAGTTGGACAAAATTGGGTTTTCAGTGAATAGTCGTATGTGAGTTGTTTGTGTCTTCAGCTAAGAGACACTCATTGTTAGGGGTAAAGTCAGAAAAATCTGCACAATGCAATTCAAGTTAAAAGGATAACTATAAATTGTAATGCAAAAGCAAATAATAGTCAAAATTGGAGCATTTTTGGAATTTGGAACCATATCATATATACAATTTTCCCAAAAAAAAGTTATATTCTTGTGCTAGGAAACAAAAGGCTGCCAGATTATTCTGAGATGTGGCCCAATAAGGACAAATTTTTTAATGAAAAAAATAGTCAAAATTGGGTATTTTTGAAAACTCATATCTCGAGAAGTATACATTTCCCCCCAAAATTAAAAGATAAATATCTCACGAACAAATATGTGGAAAAATATCGCGAATTTTGATTCTTCGTGGACTATTTTTATTAAATTTTCGAATAATTGTGGACTCAGTAAAAAATTTGAACTTCAGATCTGCTTCAGAGTGTCATACCTGGGATAAGTGTAGATTTATAGTTATGGTGTCATGTCCCAATAGAAGTTGCCCCATGAAGCATTACCCCAAAGGCAATACATCTAATCAGAATCGAATGTCAAGTCTTGTTTCTTCTAATTTTCCAATAGGGATAATTTGTAAAACACGTGTTCCGTTTTTGGTAATGTTCAAATGTATTTTAATGTGCGTGTCGTGACTTCAATTATCCACGAACCACTATCGTGTGCAGAGCGCCATTATCAGAGCAAGTGTTTTAATAATTAATTGCTTTAAAATAAGTATATTTAAATATTTTGTATTGGTGTTCAAGGTATATTCGGATCAACTGGATTTAGTTAACCCAGTGGGTTTGTCAATTGTCATTTTTGTACTCACTGAGAACCAACCAATTGGTTGAAAAAGTTATATAAAGGAAACAAATCTAGAGGTGTTTTATTCCGCAATTCAGAATTCGAAATATAATAGTCATGACATTTCGAAAATATTTGGAAATGTCCAAATTATGTGTATTTTTGAAGATTTTTATCATTACAAATGAAGGAACCTATTAAAATACTTTTAGGAAAGCAGCAGAACTTGAACACTGCGCATGATTCGAAAACAAACCAGGTTGTAATTTAGCATTTGAGGTTCTCAGAGCATTAATAAGCCCAATATAATTCAATAATAATAGGTTATGTGCATATATAAAAATAAGGACTTAATCTCCCCAGAAGACTGCATGATAGCGAAAGGATGGCTCTCGATCTTGTATTTAATGGACGAACCCTTCCTCCAGGACACTACATAAAATTGGCGCCCAACGTGCTGATGCTAATCGATATGAAGTTTTTATGGCAATTTCAGTAGTGTTGACGGGTAATATTACAACCCATTTATATTTTGTCCATGCAAAATAGTCAGGCGTAATCCCAGTTTGTTGTCTTAAAAAAAATCAAAAAACCCAGTTTGTCTTTATAAAAAAATCAAAAAAACTATTTCTTTGTGAGGAAAGTATGGCATTGTCCACCAAGGGTTAAGGCTGAGAAGACTAGAAATTCGGATTTCGCCACTGATTCTCTTCAGCTCCCTTATAGCTTCATTACAAAAAAACCTTGTATACTAAAATGTCACTTGTAACAAATCGAAGTACTTACGTTACCAGCGAAGCGATACCACCACCAATTTCATAAACACGACGAATAATACCATGATCATAATTCGATTTGTACTTCTAATAAAACCCTACCAACACATTTTGATGATATACTATAGTTGAAAACGTTATGGGGGTTTGATGCAGGAGATAAATTTTGAAATTTTTATCCAAGATAATAGACCAATTTCGATGCGAAATATATTATCCGTTTTGAAGTTCCACCATTTTTTTCACAGATATTAACATTTTCTATAATGTCAAAATATTTTTAATTTAAAAATAACAATACCCACTAACACAGTAGCCCGAAGATTAGGTAGTCATTATCAAGCTTTGCTCGGCATATTGACACATATTTTTTTTTAGATTACAAATTACATAGAAGATTGATAAAATAGATTAGAGTAAAGAAGAAGTGAAAAGAGCTTTATTATCAAGAAGATTTTACATTTAATTAAATATTTATTCACGGCTTCTGTTTCAGGGTTGTCAGATTAGAATTTTTTTTCCAAAGGGGAAGTGGTTTTCTCTTCTTTTTTTAAGTTCTGACACAAATTTTGAAGACATTTAAAACAGAATACTATTTTTTCTTTAACTATCCGTTTTTTCTTTTTTGATAAATTCTCATAATTGCAGACACGTTTCATTTTTTAATAATAAAAAACAGTCATAATAAAAGTTAAAAGAAAAACAGCTCTCATTAGCAATCCAACATTTTTTTTTTTAAAGATATCAATATTCTGCAATTGAATATTTTCTTGCAAACGAAAAACGCATGTCAGGTGGTGTCTTAAGACCATAAATCGTCACGAGTTGCACTTGAGTTTGATTAGCAAATTTATTTTCTTGGTCATAAATTGGGCAAATAAATAATAAAAATTCTAGCTGTTAAAAACTTAAAGTTAATTGATGATAAAAAAATAATAAATGAAATAATAAACAATAATAAATTTTGGGTTGCATTTTGATTTTTTTATTGTAATTTTTCTTTGGCTTTGAAGTCGTAAATTGTCTGCCGTCCTCCGATGAAAAACCACTACATTACATATAACCAATATACAACATTCCGAATAAGTTTTGCAACAAGAACCTAAAATGCAGAATTACAGTCATACAGAGGCACATCACAACACGGAATGCCAAAATACAGTCACTTGCACAAAAAGACGCAAAAAAGTAAATTTTTCAATAAAACTTTTCCGAGAAAATGTCCAACTCCCTTAGAACTGTGTGTTATCACGAATGACGTATAAAATCCCTATTTGTTTGAATTTACACATAAAAACGAAAATACAGCTTACATTCATGTCGTAACAAGGCTTTCGATTAATCGACTTTTTGCATTGAAAAGTCGATGTCGACTTTTCATCTTTGGGGAAATCGTAAAGTTGATTTTCTTCACAAATACTTGGTTTATTGTCATTAAGCCGAAATATTCCAAAAAATATATATTTCAGAACTTTATTTCGTCTGTTGACAACAATTCATATAAAAAAATAAAATTTTTAGTCGATTTTGCATTTGACAAAATCGAAAGATCGACTTTTAAGTCAGAGGCAAAAATAGAAAAGTTTAAAAATCGACTTTGCTCTACCAAGTGGAAAACAAGTAAAACGTTCGTTAATTTCGCCCGGAGAGAACTTTTTATATCCTCCATCGTGAGGTGTCACAGTAAATTGCAGCCAGTAGAAAACGGAATACCAAACTACAGACACTCAAGTTGGAAAATTCAACCTAGGGCCTTGGACAACCGATAAAAACCCTAAACTGTTTTGTAGGGACTATTGTACAAATACAACACACCAAGGTTCGGGAAAGCCAAATTCGCAATGCTAAATTATAGACACGTCGATTGAAAAATTCGACTGGGACCATACAAACCTAAATATAGAGACTACACCCAAAAAAAAACTACCGATATTTTCAGTAGAAAGACTTGCCTCCCAATAAGAACTTCAAATTTCAAAATTAGAGCAAAATTACTTGAAAACATGGCTGAATTTCCCTACAAATGGGGGTCTGCCCTGAAAGTTGTGCCAACATGCTAATTTTAAGTTCGGAGATTTCCTACTGAATCAGAAATTACAGCCATCTTGGCTGGAAACTAGCCCAAATTAAAAAGTGGGCAAATATTGGAAGATCTGAGATCTTAAAAAATCAAATTACTGTCAATACGCTTGAAAACGTATGTATGATGTCCGTCCGAACATTTTGGGACCTAAAAAATCAAACTCTAATGACTCCACACATATTTCTGCTAGAAAATTTTAAATGTTATAACCTGAAATCTTAAATGTCAGCCAATTTATTTGCAAAATGTGACAAGGAAGTTATGTAAAAATGTTAACCTATGTATATACGAAAACATAGAAAAACATATTTCCAAATTAAAAGTAATTCAGTTGAAGGTGGCTGAAACCTTAAAAAAATACCTATAAAGTGATAGTACCTTTACCAAATCATGGACCGATGTAATCCTTTCTCAATATTAAATATTTAAGCTCCATCTTAAATATTGGTATAATGTCCCGATTTTGGTCTGACTCTCGATGGACATTGCTAAAATCCCCTTAGAATTTTCACCGGATGAAGAATATCTCTGGAGAATTGTTCGCCGTGTTGATGACGAAGGACTTGAAAGTGCCTGTGTTGACCCTTTAGGGCCTTTAAAGTACAGCCACACAAACTCCAATCTGCCACCGATGTTCCCTTTTGCTGTAGAAGAGTATGTGACAGCAAAAGGGAAATGCAAAAAAATAAATCCAACAAATTTGCATATGGCACAACAGAAGGGTAGCAAAAACATACCATTAAATAAAATGCCCTTAATGAATATACATATGTATGTCTGCCTGTCGAACATACACATATTGTAAATAATATAAACCACATGTGTAAAAACGTACAATTTTGCACGGTTCTTTCTACGCAGCTAAATAAGTCACTCTTTATTTGAAAAATGAGGGAGGGGGTCACGGCAAAGAGACACTTGACACTCAAATACTCAATCAGTGTGTGAACACACACCAGTCATGATGTTGTTGTCGTTCAATATTAAACTGACATAATGATGAATATGAATATGCCCTCGGTGTATTGTGTGAGGTCGGGTTGAAAGGTAACAACAGACAGACTGACAATCAACCGCCTGAAATACCTAATAAAACTTTTCGTTGTAGAAGAAGAGACGACCGCCAACAATCTCGAAAGTTCTAAAAAACTATGCGA